TTGTGCTCCGGAGAGGGGAGAGGAAGACGCAGCGTGGGGATGGGAATCTGAGAGAAGGAATGGAGTGGTGGCAGTGCACGGGCAGAGTGAGGGTGGAGCATCCCTCAGGCAACTCATAAAGATGGTGCCTTTGCCAATGATCTCCTTCGCGGTTGTGAAAACTCAAGAGAGAATTGTCTTGCTTAAGTCACAGAGAACATCAGGGTCAGTTCCAAGATGAGTGCTAAAGAATTTCTGTCTCCTAATCCTGTGGTCAGAGCATAACACAAGGCCCATCCTCCTCCAAACTACATGACTTTGTTCATGTTTTTCCTACAAAGAACTACATGACTTTGTTCTAATTTTAACAAGGAACAACCCCCCTCCCACTAAGGACCCTTTCTGGGCATATCACTATTTCCTCAGATGTACAAAAAACTGAATAATTGTAATGGGTAATACCTTTTGTACACATGGGCCTGCCACCACAGACGTGATCATTTATGGCTTCAAATCCTAAGGGGGGCAGGGAGAAATGCTTCCCCAACCACCTACAGCTGTGAACAACCAGCTAGTTGCCTTATGGAGAGTAGGGATGCTTTTCCTCTGAAATATCAGCCATAAGCCACACTGGGAGACAGACTGCCAGTTTGCATTCTTTCACGTGAAGCCAAGTGGAGCATTAGGTGTGAAAATTCTCACCTTGAAGTCCTGGAAGTTACACATGCATATCCTGGTGTGCCCTGCTCAGAGTATATGTTTTCTAACCCAATGGCCATATTCAAAAAAGATCAACAGGCATTTTTTATTTTTATGATTTTAATAAGTGCTGGTGTAATTTGTTGTATCTCCAAAAAAAAGGCAAAAAACACTGGAGTGTGGTTAGTGCTCATGAAAGTTTGAAGATCAAAATCAATAACAGGTAAAACAGATAATTATTTTACAAGTTTCTTCTTCACTGTCCAGCCCAATGCCTCTTTAATACTGATGCTGAGGGGCCACTTTCAATAGCTCAGAGAGGGGCTAACTCAGTTCTTGGCCTCTTCTCCAAGTTTGGAAACAGCAGATTTTATTATATTGACACTTGTTTATTGGTAACTAAGATAACACCTCACACAAGCTACTAATAAACATCTACATCAGGTATTACCTCTTCTCAGTTATCACTGATTTGGGCTAGATTTGAACCAGACCTAGAAAGGAACAGCTTCGTAACTTAACACTTTAAGCGGGCCATGAGCCATCCAGATTCCATGTGTTCAGATACTAGCTGGACCTTCTAGGGCTATGATACTATTCTCTAAAATATATTACAATTACTTTGGGACTAGGAGCTATCTTGATCATTCCAACATGCCCTTCTTCGCAGAATCTAGATAGGCTCAACACCAAGGGTGTGTCTAGACTACATGGCTCCATCAACGGAGCCATGTAGATAAGCTTACTAGACATAGCAAAATGAAGTGGCGATTTAAATAATCGCACTTCATTTACATCAAAATGGCCTCTGCGCTGTGCCGACGATCAGCTGATCTGGCACAGCGGGGCAGTCTAGACACGCCGCGGTCGACAAAGGCTTCCCTTGTTGACCACGGCACGTCTAGACTGCCCCGGTGTGCCGTATCAGCTGATCGTCGGCACAGCGCAGAGGCCATTTTGATGTAAATGAAGCACAATTATTTAAATCACCCCTTCATTTTGCTATGTCTAGTAAACTCATCTACATGGCTCTGTTGACGGAGCCATGTAGTCTAGACACGCCCCAATTGTTATCCAGAGCAGCATGTTCTGGCAAATCTGTGTTCCAATTTTCTTTCAAAAGCTGTTAGTTAAACTTTAAATGCAGACAAGCATGAATATATGGCATTCCATGTAATCAGAACTCAGAAGACATTCTGTCGCTGATAAATCTAACCCCAGTTCCATGAACTTTGACAACATTAATTTTGAACAGTGGTCAAAAAGAGAAAAGGTTAAATTACATGTAACCTGACAGGCATTTTGATTCAAAATGCAAATAGTAACTTTCTAAAGGCCACATCCAAAGGGAATCATAAATTTTCTGCTATGATGCCCTTAAAAAAGAGGCAGTTTATATATTTCATCCACATAGTTAATATTCAGATAACTATTTTAGTTTTTCTAAATCCCTATTAAAATCCATTTTTTTAAGTCCTTTCCAAAAGCAAAGGAAATCCACAAATCTATGTGCTATATTTGTTATCAAGCCACAGTGACTCAGTTAGAAGCTTAAAGACCTGAAATGGCCCAAATAGGGGAGCATCTGTTTTGGGGGGTTTTTTTCATTAGCGAGACATTGATCTGATTGCCTAACTGTCCTTCCTCTTCATTTGCTGATTATTTTTCTTCTATAGTGATAGTCAGATGTTGGTATTATAGTGGCAAATCTGTGCCTGTACACCACTATAGGTTTACTCACTGAACAGCTTTATGTAACCTAGTAGCTGTAGTACTAGTTTCTAGACTGTATAGAAAACTACCATTGTAATAAGACATTGTGACTACAGTGTAATTACATGCCTGCTTGTAATTTCCTTCTAGTCAGTACCAATACTATTTTAGGACTTATTACAATTATTTTGAAAAAAAGTGCAGTGATAAGATCATCCCATTTCAGTCCCGGTGTGTGTGTGTGTGTGCGTGCTTATACACATTCACATTTTGGGAAGGGGGATCCTACGTTCACATCACAAATCAATCTGCTGGAAATTTTATAGTTGAAGTTGTGTTACATTAAAGGCAATGAGCAGCAACCTTGCTGGAACATGTTTCACTCCAGTCAAATGAGAACATGAGGTTGGTGGAAGACAAGTTGCTCAGGATGATCCCAGCCCGTAGTGTCCTGTAAAGATGCAAATGGGCATCACCTTGACTATACATTTATCACGCCTTCAATTAAAAAAAACTATCACAATTCAGTGTTCCGAAAATCACTAAAAATACTTTTAATGTCAGGAAACCAGACTGCCCTCTGCTCTGTAATATAGACACAGTATGACAGATTATCCTGGGGTACATTTTTTTGTGTCACGTGTTTGTAAGAAACAGTTATCCAGGATAAAATTCACAGTACATGAGTCATTCATGATTCATTAGGTATCTTTGGTAATATTGTACATTTATGTACACTGCAAGTACCAATTCCTTTGGATACTTAGTGTAATTCATTATATCTATATTGACTAACTTAAGTAATGTTGTAATAGTATCTTCTGTCTGTACATTTTTTGTGACATATATGCTGTATAGAATGAAGTCAGACTGGCAAAACCAAAGTTATTCTGCACATTTATATTACAGATCACTCCTACTCATTAACTAAATAGCAATTACAGTGCAATTAATATTATGCCCTTTATATTTGACAAAAGTGGTATTTGTGGCTCTATAATGTCTAAATGTTATAGCTTTTAAAAATAGCATACTATTTCCCAAAACAGTTTCAGTGTAATAGGATTTTCACTAAAGAATGTAAGCTGTATTTTTAAAAAGTTCTCCTAACTATAAATTATTAAAGTACAGAGGAGTACAATGACATGGCCTTAAAAGATCTGTCTTTTAGAAAAAAAAAGTCTACCATTGTTTGTAAGGTTATTCACAGGTATTACACAGACAGATGAGGAGTCACAGATATACAGCCCTCCTGCTTTCTCAGGCAATAGGTCTCCTTTTAGTTTCTTGTTGAGTTCTATTTTGTCAATTCACAGCTTCCCACCCTAGTTTAAAGTGACTGGATTGTCCACAATAGCTGTGTTAAGTCTTAAGATGCAAAATTTATTTACAAGACAGTTGAAATGTTGCAGTCATGTAACTATGTTCACTCCAATGCAGTATTAGAACGGGCACAGCAGCTTGGGTATCTCAGAGAGTGCATCACTGTTCTAAATGGCCTTTTCTTTGTCTCTTTAGCTGGAGGCGGCTCCTCAGTACTTTTCCTAGACAGCTCTATAGGCTCTGTCTGGAACTGTTCTATTTGAATTTCAAGATGTTTTTGAATGGCCAATCCAAGAACTTCTGGGTCCACAGCTGCCCCATATACTTCCCATGTCATCCCTTCATCATCCCATCTCACTTCACGTACCGGAGACTTTGGGGCCTCTTGGCCATGTTCTAAATTAACCTCTGGGAACACATGAGGGTGACCTTCGGCTGCTACAGATGGGCTTGTGGCCACAGACTTACATTCCATTACTGAAATGGTTTGTACTTCTGCATCTTTACACTCCAGGGGAGATTTCAGTCCTTTGGTTAAGTCATTCATAGAGGTCATAGTCCAGGTGTCTTTAGTCTTCATTATCATGTCTGCACATTGCTGATTCTGCGACGTGTAAGCCGCCTTCATTTCCTGCTGGACTCTG